ATACGTGAGACAAAACTAACACCCCCCCCCCCCCCCCCTAACGTCACGGACCGTGATAGACACCAGCTAGAGACCATAAAAAACAATAATAGACATCGCTGATATTCGATGGAAGGTTATATATCATTGATATGTCATTATAGTATATAGACTAGTTACTTCTTGAAGTTCTAGAGGAATAAGTGAATAATGATGAAGAAGAATGCACCTAAATCGATCAAGTAAAAGAATTTTCATTTCAATAGCAACAACAGTTATATCGTGTTTCACAATTTGAACCCTGCAACGATTGCACACTAACAATTATTCATTTCAATGTTTACTAGAGATCCATCGAGTTAATGATGTTTAGAAACAATTCTCAAAAATATATACTCATGTGTAAAAAAACTAAAAATAGTTCATGGACATGATGAAAAAATTAGCAGAGTGAATTATTTAATTTAAGTAACACCTGACAATATTACTTTGTAAGCTTTATTTTTCATGAGTCTATTAGATTTGTTTTCTTGCCTGTAATTATAAGCTTCGAAAAAAAAATAGAAAATAAAAAGTTACAAAACCTTGTTAAAGCTTTTTGTTTTGTCACGTTTACACGACGCATTCAATTATACATTCATGAATTACACTTTTATCGTTTATTTATTATTTATTCTACTCAGCAAATATGAAAATAAACTTTTATTTATTTTCTTCTGATTTTTCACTTTTTTTTTTATCTCAGTCATTGGCATGCGTTTGAATTTTAGTCGCTATCACTTCTCTGATCCTTAAGATTATTCAATAAAAAGAAAATAGTATCTCTTCAGGACATTACTCCCACTATTCATATTTAAAAAAACTTACTCGTTCAGTCCTTTAGTGACTGAACTGTTGAGCTCATATAAGCTCTCTAGCCATATAAAACTAATATAAATTATGTTAAGTGAAAAATCTCTCGTAGAAGAGTTGTTTTGCAGGATAATCGCTCACCAGAGTAAGGATCTCTTTAATATCTGCATATCAAGCAGAATTTTTTAAAATTTTTTTACGGACGTCCTAGTTTTTGTTTGCATTTTTCTCATTCACTACTTATTTGTCTTTTTTTTTAATGTGTTTTTTCTTAATTATTACAATCATTGAATTAGATGTCAAATAAAGCTATTTTACAAACCAATCATATATACAGATGGTCTTAAGGCACTATTATGTATCTTAATCAACTCACAAATAATTAAATTTATTATTTTTCAAAATTATAACTTGATCAATTTTACAAAAAAGACTTTAGGACGTCTGACATTTGTTGTCCTGGGTTGCTTAAGTCTGTCATAGGGAGGGGGCGAGAGCTGCAAAACTTCGACTTAAAACTTACACTCACAATTTTTTTTTTGAAAATATATGTGAATTCTACAATATAATACAGATGAATATAAAAAAAACTTGCGTTTTTCTTTGCACTAGTTTTAAGTTAATAATGTGAACTCTTTGAAATTTAATCATAATAAAAATTATGAGAATATATCTGAATCAGCATTGTCCTTTTTGGAAATTAGAAAGTAACTAATACATGAAAAAATCATTAGTCCAGACCTTATGTATTATCTTACTTTCATACTCGTGTGAAATAGAATTAAGTGAACTATTTCATCAATAGTCATCCATTGATTCAATCTACCATTAAACGAAGAATTAACTTGATGTTACTCAATAATTTTTCTTTTGCTTTCTTTCTTCTATAGAACATTCTATTTAAACTCAGGTGTTTTGCACTGTATGTATATTATTCAACAGATGAATTCGACAGTCAAGTTGTGCCGCTTCTTTGTCGAATGTCAAATTTGGAAAAGCTAATACTATCTCTTCGTTTTCGTCAACGAAATTCATTCATTGATGCTTCTTATCTGCATAACAAGTTATTCAGTCAAATGTCACGTCTACATACATTTATCTTCGACATCGTTACCGACTATGTCATGGTTAATCAACAAGTTAAACTATCTTCTGATGATATTCGACGCACGTTCAGCGAAAGAGGATATCATATTGATTGCTATGTTGACTATAATAATGATAACGTAGACCGCTGTCACGTTTATTCGCTTCCTTTTACTATGGAATGTATACATCGCATAACACACAGTTTTCCTGGTGGTATGTTCATGAATGTTCGTATTCTTCATATATGCGACTTTAGTCACTCTTTCGAACATGATTTTTTTGCTCAAATCTCGCGTTCATTTTCATTGCTCAGCCGCCTGAGAATCGCCAATATAGTACCACAAAATGAGAAACTATCACAACAACTAATGAAACCTGAAGAAGCATCCCCGATTATTGAATATTCGCATCTCGTCGAAACTTAGCTTTAGTTATGCTAGGACATATATTGACTACGTAGAGCAATTTCTTTCCAGTTTGAATACACATTTATCTTCTCTTAGCAAGCTTCATGTTAAGTATGAACATTTAATAACTGTTACAGAGAATTTTACAAGTAATACAACACATATGAATTGTGCAAAATTGAAACATATTAATTTTTTATAATAAACTTGAAATAGTTCGTTCAAAAGACTTTTATCTTTATTTTCCTTTGTTATATCACGGTAAATATAATTAATTGATTGGTTTAATATTCCAATAAAATGAAATGAAAACACCTACTTATAAAAACTTCATATGAAACGATGGAGTTTCATGTTGTCCTATTCACATTGATTGTAAGATCAGAACCCTTGATTTGTGGAATCGTTTGATGCGTGTTTATTTTTTATTCAGTACTGTTTTCACAATGATAGAAATATAGGTCAGTAATGAACTCAGTTTGTATTTTTCACGAACTGAACCGATCGACTTTTAAAAGAATTCAAACCGAACCAGGATGGTTGTGGGTTTGGTTGAAATGAATATCTAGACCGAACTGAATTTTCTGCTCTCCAAAGAGTAGGTGTGCACCAGTGCCAGTAACTGGGTCCCAGTTGGACTGGGTACTTAGTCATTTGACGTTTATTCCTCTAATCGATCAGTACTTCCCTCTTTTCTAAGGGTGTAGGTGTGGGAGTTGGTTTGATGTTGGTATGGGTGTCGTTATTGTCATTCTAACCATTCCCGCATCCAAACAACACCCACACCCACCCACCCATATCTACACCCTAGCCATGCCCACATCCTGAAGACATGAAATTCATTTATAGTATTCTAAATTATAACGATTGATATATAGAAATATATGATTAGCCGATGGATTCAGTATCCTAACTTATATCACTACTTCAACAGCCTAAAAATCACTGTATGACAATATGCTAGAAAAGAAAGTACTACTCGACTAATGGACTAAAGATCAAAGGACTCAGTACCCAGTCCGACTGGAACCCAGTTCACCAGTCAGAACTGGGACTGGTGCATCCCTGCCAAAGAGGAGTAGGACATAAATTCTCATTAAGATCATTAAAGAGTTTAAATACATTCAATGCAGTCTCATATTCATGTAGCTCGTTAAATAGTATCTATGGTTGCTTTGAAGTAATTGAATAATGAATAATCATCAACGAAGTATCAATAAATTGGAGATCTTAATATATGTTAACCGTTTTGATTTTGTATTAATAACTTATCGAACTTAATTATTTTCTATACGAGCAGATAAATAAAGAATATGATCAACTTGTTGTGGAGTGAGATGAACATTTTATCACAATTGTCAAAATGAAATTTATATATGGGTACGATATTTGAATCAATTGTCTCAGACGCATTTGCCATTGTTATCAAAGCTAATTTCACCACACGATCGACTATATTCTCACTACTGACAATATTTACTATGCAGGTCGCAAAAAGATTTACTTCCTCTTTTACCCTTACGACAATAAATCATAAAAATAGACTAATGTTTTTTTCAATCAGATGTATCGTTATCTACCATACTTTATCAGCGGACTAAATGAAGTTGGAGAAAGTACATCAGTGTACGTTAGAGTTTATGGTGTGTCTCGGATTAAGTGTGAGTGTGAGTAAGAAAATTCTATCATCCAACACCTACATTCGCATCCGCCCCCAACCCTACACTCGCACCCACACCCTTATTATTAATATATGGTAAGTCAATTAGTTGTTGATGTATCGGAGTTGGCCATCGAGGTGGTCGAAGTGATCATGATGGTCGTGGTTGGGATCAAACAACATCAATAACAACATGTTTTTCCTAAAGATTAGTCTCTCAAGGCTCGAGACATCAGTTATGTTGATTTCTCTAAGTTTTTGTATGTTGTTGAACGTGAGTTCAATTTTATTTCAATAATGAAGAAGAAAGAAGGAAAGAATCAAGAAGACAATGAAAACATGAAAGAATTAAGAAGATGAGAATGCCAGCAATAACCTTTCTCCTATAAATGGAAGAAATACATAAGTATATGTATAATGATAACAGTATCACCTATTATAATCTATGCGATTGAAAGATTAATGCTCAAAAAGAATAAAAAGAGCAAGGTCAATATCGATGTTTATTGACCGTGAGAAAATAGAAACAAACGAATAATTTCAAGTGAGCAAAAAGAACTAAAGAACAGATACATAAGAGACAGAAAGAAAATGAACATGCGCATATATAGTTCATAAGGAAGAATACTTCCTTAACAATTTCGAAATAAATCTCACATTTATTATTAGTGAAAACAAAATATTTTATTTAGAGAATACTCTAGCTACTAATAAACTTCAAGTTCAAGTAAGCTGTCAAAATTCTTAAACCGAACTGTCTGTAATATGAGATGAAGCCAAAGCTGAAAATTCAGATGAATTTAGGATTCTTGAGTAAAACGTTAAATCATCAATTTCTCCATACATCTTCGTATAATTAAAAGATGGAATTCTAGCAAAACATTTCATCTGTTCAAAATTGTCAGGTTTGTTCGGATCAGAATCATCCAAGTATGCGCCTCCTACGGTCACAGAAAATCGTGGATCATCAGAGATGATCGATGAGAAACGTCGATTAGTGTCATTAGCAATGAGTTTGCCATTTTGATAAAAATAATATATTTGCGGACTTTCGAATGCTACACCAATATGAACCCAAGTGTTATTTTCTATGAATGAACCACTAACATTGAGTAATTCGAAGATGCCCGGGAAAAAATATCCCAAAGTCTGATTATCCGGATAAACATGTATACTCATGACGCATGTGTAGCTGTCTGATGATAGTGCAGAGATCGAAGATGTTAGCTGTAAGACAGCTATAACACTATTAACTTTCTCGGGTTTCTGTATTTTTAAACGAAGCCAGAAAGCTATCGAATATTCATAAGCATTTGAGTGCATTAGAGTGAACCCAGACGATTGAAAATATGAATCGCTATCATTGAAAAGAAGAACACTCTGATTGTTCCACCATGATCGATAGACATGTTGACTGCGTCCTCGAATATTATTCGGCCCCCAGCCAGCATTGAGATCGTCGCTATTGAACCTGTATTGACAAAGTACGGTTGCTTCAAAACGAATTACACTGGCATTTTTCACTGCATACAAAACAGACAAACTATCAATGAGACCATAGAAGGGCTTTGCCTTCGTCACTGCATTTAATCCGATATAGGATAATTTTGTTTTGTTCACTCGTGATAAGGTTACATGAAACAGATTCAAATATTTTCTTTCGATTTCGATACCATTGAAATAGAAAATAGTCAATCCAGTTTGACGATCAAATGAGAACGCTACATGGATCCAACATGATTGACAAATATATTCCTGAACAGAAACAGAGACTTCTTGCAGTATAGTTGCATTATCCCAATTTGAAACCTGAATGTTAATAGTTGTATCAGTGATGATAAAGCTGATACATATTGGATTAAAGTTATTACAGTCACTTAAAATAGTTTTTGTCAGATAGCCAGCTACTAAAAGCCAAGAAGACACTGTGAAGCTTGTGTTCAATGTTAGATTCAATGAGCGAGGAAGAATGACGTATTGATATTTTTTCCTATCCAAATACAACGCCTTGCCTTGCCCGGAAAAGTCAGGTGAAACGGTTTCAGAACCATTTACAAATGTACCATTGTATAAACCGGTCAAATCTTCTCGAGCATCACCACAATCAAATGACCAAAAATAATCAATTATCAGATTCGGCCTTTGAGGCTTACATACTAAATAGATGAGCAATTATTCTCAAAGGACAGAAAATAAGGCAAGAGCACACTTCTTTTTTGATCTTGAAATTTCTCAATTTTCATGGAAACTCACCAAGAAATTTCAATAGACGAAAGATGTTTCTCTTGAGAGAACTGCTTTCTGAGGGATAGCTTCGCTCGAGTTGTGTGAGCATCAAAGATTTTCTGCTTACGATCGGATGGCAAAGATTTCTGGCTATAATATCCACCTTTTCTACTTATGTAGCATTATATAGAACTCAAAGACAAATCCAAAAAGTTTTCTTACAATAAACTTCCACTTGTCAGAGTGAATATTGAACCAGTAAAAGCCCCTTAGATTTAAAAAGTCAAAAAAAGAACGAACCATTCTAATGAATCTTATCAAAAACGCGAAAAAAAGGTATTTCTGCTGATGAAATGAATGTAAGAATAGGTCCATTTCAAATTCATTGATGATAACCGACAATTTAATGAGGCAAATGCAATGAATTTAATTTGTAATTAAAATTATGGAATTAAATTAATAAAATATTTGTTTTTAATCGATGAATTTGAAATACATTCATTTTTATGTCGGTGTTATCATTTTAATACAATTTGTTTGATTTTTCAATGAGTTAGACTATATTCATCAACAATGAATCATCTTCAGTTAATTCTAATAATAGAATCAAGTACACTGGCGTCCTAAATCTTCCGTTATTTGTGATTATTTTAGAAGAAATTTGGAAATGTTCGTCGGGCCAACGAATGTTGCGTACGGCGAACGCTGCGCACGGTAT